AAATCAAATCTCTAGGTGTCACAGTCAGGAAGGGGATGGTTGGTCCTAAGCCTCAAGTCTGTTGCCACCCACAGTCTCTACCTCTTGCTAGTTGCTGTGCAACCTCCAAGATGCCTGGAGCCTCTCTGGTCTTACCCTGCTGGGGTTTACAATCCAAACCAACCCATCTCTCTCTCTGGAAGAACAGATGGGAGAATGCTCTCAAATCCACCGCCCTGAGAATTGGGCAAACAGATCTGTAAAGGCAGTTTGGTGGGTAGAGGGTTAGGCAATCAGGGTCTGCTAAATTGCTGGTCTCAGAATAGGGACAGAATCAGCACACACACCTGTTCATTTGAAGGACAGTGGCAGATAGCTCATCTGGTTCACTTTGCCAGGATGGAAGCCATTTTGCAGAAATGAATGTGTCCAATCATCCATATATGTCCCCTCAAAGTGTTGAAACTTAAGGAAGAATTATAAGCCGGCTAGATGAAATTCTTATGCTGCAGACCCAACATTACTTTAAAGTATACTGAACTGAAGTGTTGGTGCCAGTGTCTGCAGGGACAGTGCGTGTATGTAGAACAGTTTGATCCTATACTGAATGTCCCCAAGTTACATATGAGGAAATGGAGAAGTTAAGAAACTTGCCTAATAGGCCAGGCGAGGTGGCTCACGCCTGTAATCCTAGCACTCTGGGAGGCTGAGGCGGGTGGATTGCCTGAGCTCAAGAGTTTGAGACCAGCCTGAGCAAGAGTGAGACCCTCATCTCTAAAAATAGCCATGTGTTGTGGTGGTTGCCTGCAGTCCCAGCTACTCAGGAGGCTGAAGCAAGAGGATCACTTGAGCTCAAGAGTTGGAGGTTGCTGTGAGCTATGACAGTATAGCACTCTACCAAGGGTAACAAAGTGAGACTCTGTCTCAAAAAACAAAACAAAACAAATCAAAAAGAAACTTGCCTAAGCTCCTACAATCTGTAGGCAGTTGAGTTAATGTTCTCCCAGGTAGCCGTGTGTAAGGCCCTCACTCTTCACCTCCAGGTCACAGCGCCTCTGAGTTCTGAATGATGGCTCTCGGCATCAAGTGAACTTAGGATTGTTAGTTTTGGGCAATTTGGGAAGCAGAGCTGAGTAACAACTGATGTGTCAAGCAATTTTTAAAAAACCCTTGAACCTATACTAGCCCATCAGATCGTTCTTGCATGCAAGCTCTACCGAACCGCCAAGAACAGATAATTCCTGTGCTAACTGACGCGTGGGTGTGCATGTGCTGCGTGCCGGGATGCCGGTGTGGTTTTCATGTATGAATGCATGTACGTGTGCATGCCACGGGGGGATGTCTGTGTATGTGGTGTGTGAATATGTGTGTGGTGAGCTTGTTTACATGTGTGTACTGTGGAATTGCATGGTATGTGTGGATGTGGCATGCATGGGCTGTGTGTCCATGTGCTGTTCCCGCGTGTGCTATGCATGTGCTCATATGTACGTTTGTGTGGTGTGGGTGTGTGTAATGCACCTGCTTGTGGGTTTGATGTGTGTGGGTATGTGTTTGTGTGGCACATGTGGGCATGCACCTGCATATGAGCGTGCCATCACACATGCACACCAGCTACACATATGCACGCTGCATAGCACACATATACCCTGCATTCTCCAAGCACAGCACGCAGATAAGCACACCACGTGCATGGAAGACCATACTACCACTACATGCACATTCCATGCAAACACACACCTCAATCCCGTCACATGCAATACAGGACACTGCACACTCTCACACCACCTCCACGCTCATGCTGTCCATACATGTGCCAGCCCACAGCACCACCACACTGGGGGTCAGGCCTGGAGCCCCCAGGAATTGGCTGCAGAGGTCCAGCTCTCAGTGATAAGCAGCGTGCATGAGGGCCGCCTTCAACCTGAGGGCAGCCACGGCCCTGAGCTGCGGCTCAGCTTCTCTAGTGAGAATTCTCCAGAATCTTTGATGACCATCATAATCACAGGGCCACAGCTTCTTGGGGTCTGGGGTTGGGAAAGTGTGGCACACTGGGGCACATGTCAGTCTTAACCCCACCTTAGTCACTGGTCTGGGCATAGCCCAGCTGTCACCAGGGAAGCCTTCAAGACCCCAGGGGGACCAGGCGCCCCTCTTCTGAAGTCCCCTGACTCTTCCCCCTTGCATTGGTGACATGGTGGTTTTAATTTTATATTTTATGGATTCTGATATCAAGTTACTAATGTTTAATTAATTACAGAATTATGTTTTCCTTCCCTGCCTTCCCGACTGGGCCTCAAGTGCTTGGAGGGCTGGATCTGTGTCTGATTCCATGTGGCATCCCCGGTGCCCAGCGGGGGCCTGGCAGACAACAATGGCATGGTTGTTTGTATTCTTGCTGAAGGAATAAATTGGATTTTAGCATCATGGACTCTGAAAATTAATCTAAAAATTAACCCATGCCATCCTGCCCACATTCCAGCCTGATATGGAAATTTATGGCTCCTTCCAGGGAGGATTTGCCACTGGGCAGTCTTGGGATCGGCCATGCCTTCCTCCTAGAGCGGGAGTCTCAGCCTTGGCTCCAGTCAGGCCTCCTGCTAGGGCCCCGATGTGTTTGAAGGCACAGATGTGAGATGAAGGAATCTGAAGAAAGAGCCTGGCACTGGGAAGGTAAGTGGTGGTGGTCCCTGCACCAGCTCCCTGGCCTGGCCAGTGCAGTGGGGTCGGGCTGCAGGTGGGAGGAGTTAAAGGTTTTCACTGACATGTAGCATTGAGATGTGGTGGGCCTCTGACTGCAGATCGGCCCTGGCAGGTGGAGGATACTGGCACTGCAGGAGTGCCTGGTCCACGACAGGGCTGGGACACTCAGGGCTGGCAGCTTTGGGGCCACAGGCACTGCAGCAGGGCATCAGGGCAGGGACCTCAAGGCTGGTGGAGGGGGTGTGGCATTGAGCTCTCGGTGGCTCTGTGGCTGCTGCCATCATCACTGCGGGAGGGAAGAGAAAGAATGGAGCACACACTGCTTCCCAGGAAAGAGGACGCCCCTCGGGGGAGGCTCGGTTTCGGTTCTGACACTGCAAGTCTTGCATTTGCCAGTTTGCAGGTAAGGCCTGAGCCAGTGACCTGTGGCGAATCACTGGCATGGTCCCACTATACTCAGCTGGTGTCTCGGGTCCCTTGCCACAGACACACAGAGCCTCAGGCGGGGATTCTGGTTCAAGGGTCGAGCTGAGTGGTACTCTCAGAAGGGAAGTAAAATCCTCAGAGCACAGTGTGGGGAGAAGCTAAGTGAGGGTGGTATTGTAGCTGGGCCACTCCAGCCTCATTCCCTGGGCACTGCAGGTGCACACCATGCCACCAAGCTGGCTTCTATATTATGTGGTCCTTAGGGGATACAACCTCCCAATCCTGGGCACTAACAGGGACAGGGCGGTTGTGAAGTAGCTGTGAACTCAGGGGCTGAGTGGGCTCTGGCCCGCAGAGGGCTCCTGCTACAGTTGGGCTCTGGACAGAAGGTCTGTGTCCTCCCAAAATTCCTATGTGGAGGTCTTTGCCCCTAGTATGATGGTATTCGGAGGTGGGGCTTTTGGAAGACAGTTAGGTCACGAGGGCAGAGCTGCCCCAACTGGGATTACACTCATGTAAAAGAGACTCTGGAGCGCTCCCGGCCCTCCTGCCCGGTGGTCATCTATGACCCAGGAAGTGGGCCTCACCAGACATCACGTCTGTTGTTGCCTAGACCTTGGACTTCCTGGCATCCAGAATCGTGACTAGCACATTCCTGCTGTTGTGAGCTATCGGTCTGTGGCCGTCTGAACAGACTGAGACGGTCAGTGTCCACTCCGTGACCCTGAAAGCAGCTTTTTGGCTGGGTCCATCATGGCACCCCACTCTCTGGGGCCACAGGGCACACCTGCACAACAGCCCCTGATACCTGCAGGCAGGGTACTGAGGTCATGGTTGGGGTCCAGTGCAGCTGAGAGGCAGCGTTGGTGCCCGGACACTCCCAAAGGCTGCCTGAGTCCCCGGTGCAGCCATGGGGTGGCAGCAGACCCCCCTCAGAAGCTGTCCTGTGGGCTGTCTGCACGGATCCTAATGCTGCTGGTTTCTTAAACATAAAAGCAGGAGTTAGATCTTAAACTGTCTAAGCCATCACCGCGTTACTGACAAGCTCCACGCAGGGAAGGAAATTGTAACCACATGAAATATTTATGCTCCACAATGCGGCGCCGCCACTGACGTGATGGCAGGTTGTTTTTGTTTGTTTGGGTTTCCTTTTCTCTTTTTCCAAAGTGGATTACAAAATGCCCTCCAGTGAGGAAACTGCTCACAGAGAAATTGCGCCCGGCTCCTGGGCTGTCACCTGGAAGGAGGGGGTGACCACGAGGGGAGAACAGGAGGCCTGAGAGCATCTCATGAATATGGGGGGGTCCTCTGTCACGGTCATGGGCTGGGCTGGGAGCGGGGCACCTCCCCTCACCTCAAAGCAGCTGTGTCCCCCCCAGCAGCCTCCCACTGATTTCTTCACACCAGGCAACTGTTATTTTTCTAGGTGTAAAATAGTCACATTATTACTTTTTTTAAAGTACCATAATGTAACATCTACTGGGAAACTTGGCTTACAGAGTCCCCTGTCTCCTTATACTCCTCCCTACACTCAGGTTTGAGGAACCTTCCAGACCCCCTCCCGGGGCTCCCTCACCTCCACCAACCTGGGAGGCCTTGTGGGGGATGGGGGCGGAGCCGCCAGCCACTTCACCTGCTGATGCAGGCTCCCACCTGGCAGCTCTCCAGCCATCATCTCTGTGCCAATGTTATCTTACTCCTTTACAGGGCAAGACTGAGATCAGGGTGGCCCCGTCCCCCCTGCCATAAGCCCCCATGGGCTGAGGAAATGGCAAGTTAAACTGTCCCCAAAAGGAAAATCTGCCATCAGAGGCCCTGTCCTGGCCAAGTCACCACCAAACTCCACTTCAGGAGGCCTGAATCTGGCTCACTGAGCACAAGAAGACACACACTTGTTTTCAACTTTTCCGAATTTTTATTACAAAGAGATTTGAGAGAAGCACTGGGCACCGACACAGACATTCGCCAGGGCCAGGAAACAGCTGCAAACAACGTCAAGAACCAAAACCAAACCCCAAAACCACACACACGTTATGATAGGCTGCAACTTTGTTCTCAAGGTCTCTTCGGAAATAGACAAAAGTCATCATTGGCAATTTTAAATAGATGGACAGATGGTTAACAGAAAAGAGCGATCCTCTGAGGGTGGCTACAATGGTCCGGTTCTGGCTGTGCAGACGATGAAACGGTTTGGTGGCCGCTTTTGTGCAGGTCTCCCTTAAGATAAAACTTAAAAACAATGTGCTAAGGGTCATATAAAAATGCTTTTTACCTTAAAGGAAACTACTTTTTCCCCCACAAAATAATCTTACAGATGTCTTCAGCACAGTTCTAAAACACTTAGCCAACTACTTACACAGAGCCAACGGTTTATAGGGTTTCATAATCTTTTGTTCACACCGGAAAACCGTATGTGCGTGTCCATCGTGGTGGGCCCCCGGCCTACACATCTGGGGTGGGTGCCTGTTGGTGAGAGACCCCGCCAGGGGCAGCCAGGTGGGCTGGGGCTGGGGCCAGGCGTCCAGATGTAGGGTACCATGTGCAGGGTGAGGAGCGGGGTCCACAGCTACCCTGGAGCAAGCAGGTCGCAGGCAGAAGGTTCCTGCAGGTTCTTTGGGCTGGCAGCAGACAGTGGGCTGCCTCTGCACAGTCCGGTGGGAGGTCACGGGAGAGACTCAGCCCGGGGGCATTGGGGTCACTGCTCTCTCAGATCGGTCACCCTGCCTCCTGCCAAGGCCTCTTTTTTGCTGTCAGCCCTTCAGGCCCGGAGCAGTGCCCTTCCAGCGAGCCTCAGGGACGGGGGGAGGTGGGCTTAGGTGAGGTAGAGCGATTTATCCCTGGGGAGCAGGCTGTGGGAGAGAGGAGGGGCTGTCAGAGCGACTGAGCCCACCCCAGCCGGGAGAGCACCAGGACCTCTGCACTCTGGCCCTTCACCGCCACCCTGGATCTGATAGCCCCTCAGCAGGTGAAGGAGGCACATGTGGCCCAGGCCCTCCCGGACTACCCACCAAGAACAGCCAACCCCTCCTGGAACCCCAGTAGGGGACCACCTGTTCCTCAGCTCTGGGAGGAAGGGAAGCAGTGTGTCCTTCCAATGCCACCGTTGCTCCCATGTCGGTTTTTAATTGGAGAATTTTCACTTGTAAATTTTAAACTGAATGAAGGTGATTTTTATGTTTTTAAAATAGGGCACTGTTGCGGTCTGGCCTCCATGCAGGGTATGAAGGGCTGACCTGAGGAAGTTCTGACACTTTTTGCTGTCCACTAAAGATATCTCCCCTCCTCCTGCGCTGAGGGGAAGGGCTGCGGTAGGAGGGTCTGCACCTACTCGGGGTGTGGGGAGGGGAATCCTTGCTCCCCCACACAGAACCTCTCCCAGGCCTGCTGGAAAGGGGGCACGTGCTGGGTTACCCTGCACAGCGCTCAGAGCACTGGTGGCCTTGGCAGACCAGGGAGCCCTACACTGGAAGGCCCAGGACTCAGACCAGGGGCAGCTGGCACGAGCAGCAGATATGGCCACCAAACACAAGCGCTGTGCCTTCCAGGGTGTGGCACTGTCGCTGGGATGGCTGCTGGGCACCACATTCCCCAGGTGTGGCCACGGGCAGTGGGAACCTGGGTGGCAGGGGAAGGAGCAAATGGACCTCCTGCACGTCCCTCTTCTGCTGAAATGCAAAGGGACTCTGCATTTGTGGCACAGATCCAGGAAGGGCAGTTGGCACTGGTTTAAAAGGCTAAGAGTGCAGGACAGGAGGGGAGGCCTGAGGCAGGGGGCCCGCCAGGCACCAAGAAGGAGCTCCGTGGATCAAGCGGAAGCAGGGCTCCTGCCCCTGGCCTGTCTCCTGCACCCCTTTCTCCTGGAAACTCTTCCTCAACACATGACCCAGGGCACCTCATCCAGCTGCCTCTGGCCCTCAGGCTCTGCTTCTAAGGGACCTGGCCAAAGACATAGGACCCATCTGGGAATGTCACATGGAAGCATTTGGGAAAAACTCAGGATGAACGGAGCAAAAAAGCAAAACCAAAGACAAGCCTCACTTCCCGAGCAGCCTCAGCGTCTAGGGCGGCAGTTCTCAACCTGTGGGTCGTCACTTACAGGAACTGTATTAAAGGGCTGCGGCATTAGGAAGGTTGGGAACCACCGGTCTAGGGCCTGCCCCACTGTGCGTCCTCTCCTGAAGACTCTACGCAGCCCCCTCCACTCCCCTGCAGGGCTGGCAGTGAGGTAGGGCTGTGCCTGGGTCCATGTTCCCCTGGGCACCCCATCCCACTCTCCCTGGGCTGGCAGGACAGAGGCAGGACCATGGCGTGTCAGGAGAGGACTGACCTGCAAGTGCTGATGCCGCACTCCCCGCTGGGGTAACTGCTGTCCCAGTCCCCGCTGCTCGTGGGGTTGGATGGGCCAGGAGAGCGGGGTCCTGAGCTGCTGGGGAACTCAGAGATGTGAGGGAAGTCCTGCAGAGGAGGGGGGACACGGTGAGCTGAGGAGAGACGAGGGGGGTGCACTGTCTCAGGCAGCCGGGGCCAGGGGGACCCTGTGCTGAGGGCATCCTTGCTCTGCGGAGACACTTCCTCTGGGCCACACGCAATGTCCACTCTGCTTTCATGCACCTGCCTTTCCCTCGCACAGCATGATTCAAAATTGTCCACCCTGTCTTAGCTGAATCAAGATGACAGACTTTGCTTCCCAGGCCTTTCCCTTTCTGGGCCTCAGTTTCCCAATCTATAAAATAGAGTCATTGAGCCAGCTGTCCTCCAAGGCCGTGTGACCCTTGTAGCAGTCTCTGTGGTACAGTCAGCAGGGCTGGGCTTTGAAGGCTCTGGGGAGAGCAGGGACTACGGCTGATCTGGCAGAAGCCGAGGCAGCCTCAGCCCCAGGTCAGGGAGCTGAAGTGGATGAGGCACATGGGAAGGAGCGCCTGGAATAGCTTATGAATCAGTCTGGCAGCCTGTCAACTATTCACTACAGACAGTTGTGTCTCAGCTAAGGTGTACAGACCCGTTCACAAATACATGTGGTTACTGAGGCTCAGAGAGACCAGGTGCCAAGGCTGAGGGCACATCTCTGGTGATAGGGCCAGAATCTAAAACCCCAAGCCCCTTCCCCTCCCATCGTGGGGTCACAGAAAGGCTTGTTCCTACTCCACCCTGCTTACCTGTGGCCCTGGAGGTGAGGGACTCATCGCCAGCTGCACCTGAAGTGCCATGGGGGTAGGCAGGACAGGGGCCTGGGGGGCTGGGGACATGCTGACAGGTGGGCTGAGAAGGGCGCCCTGTGCGTGGGGGGGCAGTGGCAGCTGCTGGTGCAGTGGGGGGCTGAGTGGGAAGGAGGGTGGCGGTGGTGGGGATGTGCTGAGGCCTGGCAGCAGCGACTTGGAGCCCAGTGTCCGGGCGAGGCTGGCGGGAGAGGCCCCGCTGCGGAAGGCCTGCAGGTCCGACGGCGTCAGGAAGGAAGCCAGGCCTGGCATGGCATACATGGGTTGCTTGGGTGGCAGCATTTTGGCTGGTGGGTTCACCTGAGTGCTCTTGGTCTCACCTTGATCTGGGGAGCTCTGGAAAGAGATAGAAACCAATCACTGGGGAAGAGGGATAAGCTGGAACGTGGGCTGTGAGGCCAGGTGGCTCTGTAGCCCTGGTTCTCTAACCAGGTACAGTCGGCTCTGACCATCCATCCAGCCCCTGCTCTTATTCCTGGAGGGCTCCTCTGCCCATGGGGGAAACCCATGCTCCTCAGGCTGGCCAGTGGAAGCATCATCACCCAGCTGAGCCATCTTCCCAGCCTCTGCCTTCCCAGGTGCCAGTCCCCCAACTTGGAACACCCTCTGTATTGGCCTTTATGACCCAGCACAGGTGCCACTCCCCTGTGACAGCTTCCAGGACAACACCTGCCCCTACCTGGGCCACATTTCCACATCCATACCTCGCCTCTTGCATGTCCTGAACCTCATAGTTCTTAGGAGTGAAGGTCAAAATTGGAAAACTGAGAAACCTGGGTTGAATCCTAGGACAGCCACTTTAACAAAATGGATAGTTTCAGGTAAGCTGCTTAACCCCTTCGCATGCTGGGGTCTTGGAAGAATTCAATGAAGTGAGGTGCATGAAAAGTGCCAGTCACTGCACACATGACCGTGTTGGTCTCCTCTGTCCTTTCTAAGACCTGTGGTGCTGGCTGCTCCTGTGGGCCCCCCTTCCCACTACCTTCCTCAGTGGCCCCACACCTCGTCAGGGATGCGCCCGGGAGTTATAGGTGTTACCTTAGAGACGAGGCTAGCCCTGTAGGCAGCCAGAGCCTTCAGATACTCCTTTTTTGCTGCTTCGGTCTTCCTCTTATAGGCCTGAAAGAGCCAACACATGGACAACACTGGGGAGAATGTTACAAAGAAGACACGGGGCAGAGGCCTGGGATGGGAAGATGTGAATGTGAGAGCCACGTATGGATGAGGGTGTTGGGATCAGAAGCCAGATCAATCACCCACTGTCCCCTTTCTAGGAGCACTGTGTAGGGATTATGGAGATCAGACTATATCCCAGTTCCGCTGCCAAGTGGCTGTGTGGCCTTGGGCAACATGCTTCACCTCTCTGGGCCTCCAGGTCACACCGGAATACTGATTATAAAAAGACAAGGCCCCTTGAAGCCCCCTATTTTGATGCAGCACAGTACAGATGCCTTAATGTTGTACCATTTTTGTATCCTAGAATGAACACTACTTGTTTATAGTACGTTAGTCTAGATTCAATTTGCTAATTTTTAGTAGGCACTTCAGACCTAGGTTCTTATTGTGGTAGTGCCCAGTTCACACCTTCTTGGGTTCAAGTCCTCCCACAATGACTTGGGGCTTGACTTCAGACTCGCTTTGGCCAATAGGACAAGAGCAAGCTTGAAGCAAGCAGAAACTGGGAAAGTGATTGCACATTGGGGCTTGCCGTTTTGCTGCTCTTGGAACTCTGAGCTACGTGAACAAGGCTGCGCTAGACTGCTGGATGATGACAGACACATGGCCCAGTTCAGCCCCACTGTTCTGAGAGCCGTCCAACTCTCAGCAGCAGAGCTGCCTAATTTATTGGCAGCTGACTGCAGACACGTGGCTAAGCCCAGCTAAGGGTAGCAGAAGAACCATCCAGCTAAACCTAGCACAACTGATGGACCCTCAGAACTGTGAGTCGAATAAATGGTGGTGGTTTGAAGCCATTAAGTTTGGGGATTGTTTCTTACAAGTTCAAAACTAATGACAGTTAGCTTCATTATGTTTTAGGATCAAGACTGCATTGTGTATGAAGAGTTGTGAAGGTTTTCACTTCTCTAAGCTCTAGAATTGCCTGTTCTTGGATGATTTGAAAGAACTTTTCTATCAATCAGCTAGGTGTGGAGAAGAGAAGCAGTTTTTTGATTTTTTTCTATTGTTGTTTGTTTCCTATAATTTTCTCAACAATACTTCCCTTGGTTATGAATGAATCAATTGTTAGCAAAATAGGACTACCAATAAAATTACTGATTTCAATTAATGTGATTTCAAAATCAGACACAGCTAACAGCTAGCCTTCTGCTTAATAGTGAAGCATGAGAGTTAATGCAAAGAAAGAAGACCATTATCCCTACCATTACTGAATGTCCATATTTAGGAGTCCTAGTCAATGTAAGTGGGAAAAGAAAACAAAATTAAAAATACAAATATGGGAAATAGGAGACAAAAATAAGGAGACCAAATTATCATCATCATCATTGTTATTTGTAAAAGATATATTTATACATGTGTGTGTATATTTATAGACATATACATACATATATAGGGAGGTGTGTGTGTGTATACACAGAGGGTGCCCAAAAATGTGTATACATTTTAAGAAAGGAAAAAATTTGTATTAAAGTTATAATACTCAATATGTTCTGATAACAAAAGATGAATACAAGTCACACGGAGCATCTCTTGTAATTGAAGAATTCGAATGTGACTTGAGTATGACATATTTATACATTTAATTAATACAGTTTTTTGTTTTCTTAAAATGTATATACATTTTTGGCACCCTGTGTGTGTGTGTGTGTGTGTGTGTGTGTGTATTTTAACCTGGAAGATATGGAATTCATTTAAAGTGATCATAAATAAAATGGTTTATCCAAGTGGGTAGTCACAACATAAATTCTTAACTTTTGTATACATCGACAATAATCTTCCGGGAAAATGTGAAAAAAAAATATGCCATTTATAATGCCTTGAGTAAAATAAGAGGCATATTAATTATGGGATGGGAATAAATGTATAACTAGTTCTTGGATTTAAAAAAAAAAACAGAAAGGTTAGAAAAATGAATCAAAAACTCAGAAGCAGGACCAATGCAGCAGGTGGGAGGCTCAACCTGACTCCTGGGCTGTGTGGAATGGGGTCAGGGGCAGCCTCTGCTGGAAGGAGTGTTCAGGGACAGAGCGCCTGAGACCACCATCCCCCCAGACTATGTATAAAAGGAAGAAGTAATCCCCTCCTGCCTGCAGAGAAACTGAGGTCTTCTTAGGAAGGGGAACGGATGCCAACAAAACAAACCGGTGAAAATGACAAACGTCCCTGCAGCAGAAGCTGGTGGCACCCTGTCCGTATCCCCTGGGACCTTACTACGCAAGCTCAACTTCCAACTGTCAGCAGCGGTGCCCCTTTGCCTGGGGTTCGCTCTGGTAGCAGGAGCCTGGTCTGCCATGTGCGGGTCAGGCCAGGAGTGCTGGGGAATTAATGCCCCCAGCTCTCAACCAGTGAGCAACAAAAACTGGTGTCTGCCCCAGCACCCTCGCACCTCAGATGGGGTGACTGTAACCAGTTCTGTGGGTCTGTGCTGGTTCCCAGAGGTCCCCAGCAGGGTCACACGCCTGTTGAACTGGTGGTAGTTTCTTAGACGATCTGACTTCCTCTCCCTACCTCACTTCCTCACTCTCTGACCAGCAGATTTGGGGATGATCTTACAAATAAACTATCTGCACTATAATATATTCTGAAGTTATTAAAATTTTTAGACTATGAAAAAGGTGGCATTGCAGATAAGGCAGTCATCCATCTCTCTGGCCCCAGCCTGCGACCCTTCCCATGTTTCCCATCTCAGGGAATGGCATCTCCATTTACCCAGAAGGCCAGCCAGATCCAAGAAGGAGTCTTCCATGATACTCTCTGGGCCTCTACCCCAAACACTCGGTCCAGGCCACCATCCTCTCCTGTGTGCACGGCTATAGACTGGCCATATCCACTCTCACCTGCCCTATGCAGCCACACTGGCCTGTCCTCTGCATAAAATTCTTCAGTGGGTTCCTGTGCTCTTAGAACGAGGGTGGACTCCTTCCAAGGCCTGCAAAGGCCCCTGCCCTCCTCTTAGCTCTGTCTCTGCCATGGTGACATTTTTCTCTGGCCATCCTGGTCTCCACTCATTGGTACTACTTGTCCTTCCTTTACAAGCCCTTCCTACCTGGAATGCTTCCGGGAAGCATTAACCCTCAGATCTTATCTGGAGACCCAATCCCCCCCTCCCTGAACCCCGAACTACATCCTTTCCTACTCTTTTCATTCTCATATACCACGTACCCTCTTGGTACATGACACAGTCACAATGGTAATTTTACATTTGCTCATAGCCTCATTGAACTTCCTGGTTCTGCAGAATCTGAGCTCCAAAGCTGACCCTCGCCGCATTCACGTGGTAACCCTGGGCAAGTAAGTCATTTAGCCTCTTGGTGTCTCCATATCCTCCTATCAAAATAGGAAAGCAGGAAGCAATGGCTACTCTACAGGGTGTTGTAAGGATTCGGTGAAATGGTGGAGGGGGAGCCTCAGCTCAGCGCTCAGCTCAGAGATGAGTTCAGAGAATGGTAGTCAGCAGACTACCCCTTTACAGACAGAAAAACTGAGCCTCCAAGGTTTAGATGGTCAGCGTGAAGCCACACAGCACACAGCTGCCTACTGCATTTGCTTATGAGCTAGTTCTGCTCTCTATTCCCCCTGGAGCCTACAGAGATGGCTATGGGCACGTGGTCAGAGGGACAGGAAGCTCTGGCCTGCACTCCAGACTTTTAGGCCTGGGAGACAAGATGGATGGAGATGCTTAATCTCATTTCATAGAATGGGAAGCCCAGGGTCAGAATGGTTAACCCATTAGTAAGCCCAGCTGGTAAATAGTAGCATTGGAAGGAATCTAGCTTCCCAGTTTACAGATGGGCAAACAGAGCCCAGGAATGACCTTTGCGACAATCTCTAGTCCCACAAGCTGGGCTTGGTTTCAGCCCTTCATAGTCTGTCCCTCGCTCCGGGATCATCAAGAAGAAGATCCAGAAAGGGGCTCACCTGCTTCTGTTCCTCTCCCAGGCTGTCCCACATGGAGGCCACAATCTTGGACACATCCCCGAAGGTGGCGCTGGGGTTCTGTCCCTTGATGGCAGCCTGAGTGTCTCTGAAGAAGAGTGCGTAGGCTGACACAGGCTTCTGTGGCTCATTGGGGTCCTTCTTTTTCTTCTTTTTTGGGTTCTTGGCCTTTTTTCCTGGGTCAGCTGAGGGTCTCTTTTCTCCCGAGATCTGCCCGGGTGAGAGGAAGTCAGCAAACCACAGAAGGCTGAAGGCCACCTGTCACAGGTGATCATCTCGGCCTTAGGCTGAGCTAGACTTCCCTCAGCAGTCTTGTGTGCTGGTCTAGCCCTGCTCACACACAGACAATGACAGGAGTGCCACCACCCAGGGGTCAGACACTGCCAGGCTATCCACTTGCTAGGAGAAGGAGGTAACACACACACACACAGATACCCCCAGATAGAAGCTTTGGGTGTTTTTTTTTTTTAACTCATGAAAGAAAATCAACGTGATAGGTAAAAACGATTCAAAGAAATACAGCAGAAAGAGCAGTCTTATAGTCACTGAAAGAATGCTGGAATTAGATCGTTAAATTACATGTAAAATTGGTTAATGTCCTATAGCACCATATAAAAATATCACCTTTGGGACATTTAATCTGATCTACTGGACAGAAATCACTTGCATCTCTATAGAGCCAAGTGAGTCTGCCTTATAATCAGACAAAAATCATTTATATCTCTACCACTTTTTCTACCCCAAGGTAACATCTACCTTTACCGAATTGTAAAATCCCCATAATCAATAATGAATATTGAGCCAAAGCAAATCAGATAGAAAGTCAGATAATTCTTGGGTCAGCCTGCAGGGCAATGCTTTGGTCTGAAGTTGAAAGAACGTTAGTCCTTTGGGGGCCTATTTTGAAGTTTGGGATACATAATTTTTGTCTTAACTTCTCTCCCTTTTGTGATCACGAATAATCCACAAAGATTATTCTGGGTTACCAAAAATCAGTCCCCTCCACCACATTTCTGCTGTGCAACTTTGGTCAGGTGGCTTAGCCCCTTGGATGCCTGTGAACAGATGAGGCTCGAGTGACTGTCGGTGGGTCAGCCCTGGAGCCAGTGGTCTCACCCTGAACAGGCTCGAGGACTACAGTCCTGTGAGCAACTGATGTGGGGCTTCCAGGATGGGGAGAGGGTTGGGATGCCAGAGCCTGGACAGGTGGTGGCTCCCATCCCTGATGTATCCTTGAAAAGGCTGCGCCACTCTGGACTCCAGGGATCCTGGGGGAGGGCATGTCCCCAGAGGGTGGGCATTTTTAGTGCCCTACCCCAAGGTCAATGTTGAATACTCTGGGCAGAGGGACTTTCTGCTAGACCACACTTTTTTTTTTTTTTTTTTGAGACAGAGCCTCAAGCTGTTGCCCTGGGTAGAGTACTGTGGCATCACAGCTCACAGCAACCTCCAACTCCTGGGCTTAAGAGATTCTCCTGCCTCAGCCCCTCAAGTAGTTGGGACTACAGACGCCTACTATAACACCCGGCTTTTTTTTTTGGTTGCACCCATCATTGTTGTTTGGTGGGCCCAGGCTAGATTCAAACCCACTAGCTCAGGTGTATGTGGCTGGTGCCTTAGTCGCTTGAGCCACAGGCGCCGAGCCTAGACCACACATTTTGTCAGAGTATCTTAAAAGGCCAGGATGGCCATGAGATGTGATCCTGACGGCCTTGCTGAAGCCATCCCTACGCAAAAGTGACCTGATAGTCATTCAGGAATAAGACTGCCACATTCTCAAGGCATGTTCTCATCCCAGTCCCTCAGGATGTGTTGGCATTGCCTCTGCTTTATGTACAGAGCCAGGGGGCACAGAGGTGACAGTGCTCGGGCAAGCACACTTGGCAGATTAGCAGGCAAAGCATGATGCCCCAGGTGTGCTCCATCTGTTGACTTTCCCTCTCCTTGGTTTCCAGCAAAGGGTCCGGCCATTTTTCTAGTCTCCGCCAGAGGGAGGTGATGTCCTTTCCCAAAGGATGCAACCCCCATGATTGGAGGGCAGCTTAGGGCTTCACCTCTCCGCCCACATACCTTGAAATGGGCTTCTGACTCCTCCTCCTGTGTTGAACTGGAGGGAGACGGGGTCGCTGACTTGCTCCCAGGAGGTGACGGGGAGCTGTGGGCAATGCTGCTCCTGATGCCCATCTGTGAGATGAGCTGGGACTGGCTGAGGGCACTCATGTGGCTGGCCAGCATCGCCGGGCGGCCCATCAGCGGCCCTGGCCGGCCTGAGTCATAGGCAGCCACTTCCGAGTGGACCATCTCCTGGATCTGAGAGAGGAGGACAGGACATGTTGAGTTAGGAAGGATGCATCCTGCCAGGCCAGCACATCTGTGTTACGGGACTCAGGGAAGGGGTGTGTGGATGAGAAGTGGTGGTGGGGGTGCCGTGGCTCCGACCTGTAGCCCCTGACAAGGGAATCTCAAGGCTGAGCTCCACGCAACTTTGACCTCTGATTTGGTGCACTTAGGGGAACTCCAGCTCCTTTAGTTCCCTGACAGTTGGCCACTGCATTGACATTCACCCTGGACGGAAGGTTGGCACTTTAGCTCTTGCCAGATAGCCTGGTCCAGCTGTGAATGGATCATCCTATGATGGTGAATCTTCCCTGCGAGAACGTGGTACCCCCTCACCTTGATTCCCTAGGCAGCATAAGCGCTAAGAGCACCAACATGGAATCCTGCTCCTGCTGCTCACCTAGGGGACTTTGGCCAAGTTACTTAGCCTCTCTGTGCCTCAGTTTCTTTATCTGTAAAATGTGGATATAATCAAACCCACCTTCTAGGGTTGTTAAGGATCAAATGCACCCAGCAAGCCGCAAGCCTTATAGTGTCTAAGGGTTTGTTAAACACATTGAATAAATATCTTCATATGAATAAAAGTTTAGTACTTTTCTTTCTACAGGTCAGGAACTGTCTTATTAACTCTATTCCCTGTGATATTTTCTAACTGGTTATTTTTAGAATATAAGAAAGCTACTGATTTTAACATGTGAGCAGTTCTCAAACTAAACATATATTTAGAATTGTGTGTACTTTTTGACCTAAATATAAGACATATACATACCCTGTTGGGCAAAGCATACCGATTTGCATACTCTTATAATTATTTTTATTTCCTCTGAATCTGTGGTTATTTCCCCCTTCTAGTTTCTAACACAAAATATCTGCATTTCCTCTCACTTATTCTTTATTAGGCAAGCTAATGGGTTTTCAATTCTTACAGAACTATGTCTTAGAAGGGTTGTTTCTTTTCCCTCAGAATAATCAAATCTCAAGGTCACCACTTCTGCTTCTGTTTTCTAATTCTTTTTTTGTTTTTGCATTTTTTGGCCAGGGATGGGTTTGAACCCGCCACCTCCGGCATACCGGGCCTGGCACCTTACTCTTTTGAGCCACAGGCGCCTTCCCTTTCTAATTCTTCAATATTGCATTTTATCTTTAACAATCCCTTCCCCTCTGCATTTTAAAAGTTTATGATTGTTGCTCCTCCCTCAATTTTGAGTCAACTTCAATTCTTTAATGGACAAATTGTATATATTTATGGGATACGACGTGATGTTTTGATGTATACGTACACTGTGGAATGATTATATGAAGCTAATTAATATAGCCATCATTTCACATTTCACTTTTTTAAGGAGAATATTTAAAATCTACTGTCCTAGCCCTTGTCACATGTACTATACATTGTTATTAAGTATAGTTACCAGGCTGTACAATCCAGCTCCAGAATTTATTCCTTCTGTCTCTGGAAACTTGATATCCTTTGTCCAGCAACATCTCTCTATTCTCCACCCTCCCAAACACCCCAACCGCTGGTAACCACCATTCTACTCTCTGTTCCTATGAGTTTGAATTTTTAAGATTCCACACATGTGAGATCATACAGTATTTGCCTTTCTGAACCTGGCTTTTTGAGTTACTTTTTTTTTTTTTTGAGACAGACTCTCAAGCTGTCCCCCTTGGTAGAGTGCTGTGGCATCACAGCTCACAGCAACCTCAAACTCCTGGGCTTAAGCGATTCTCTTGCCTCAGCCTCCCAAGTAGCTGGGCCTACAGGTGCCCACCACAACTCCTGGCTACTTTTTGTTGCAGGTGCCACAGTTTAGCTGACCCAGGCTGGGTTTGAACCCGCCAGCCTCTGTGTATGGAGCTGACACTGTAATCACTGTGCTACAGGTGCCGAGCCAACTTTTCTTACTTTTTTTGACCCTTTAGACTGACACAGACTTGCCTAGGTTACCCACAACTTTCTGGCTCCCATCAAAACCTCCCTTTAATGCTCAAAGTTATTATTTTGGAAATCTGATGTTGGTTTTTATTGCAAACGGAAGATCGACAATTGTATCTTCAATATGGATTGAACTTTTTGTTATTACAAAGTGTTTTTTTAATCTCCTTTTCCGTCTTCAGTTTAGTCTGATATTAGTAGTGTTGTCATTGTCTACATAATTCTTCTGAACGCGTCTGGTGCATCAGTTCTGAGATACTGTCTTCCTTACATATCTCCTAGATTTTATTTTTTAGTGTGACCTTTGTCAAATTTCGGTGTTTTTGTTATGGTCAGATTTAGAAAATGAACTAAGATTGCTTTCTTCTTCATGCCATGGAACAGTATAAATAACATGGAAATTCTTCCCTTAGAGAAATGAAAGAGTTTAGACATAGAACCATCTGAGGCTTGCTGTTATTTTCCATAGCTAACAGGACTATTTTAGTTTCTATTTTCTCTTGAGTAAGTTTTTGTTAAAAAAAAAACGTTAAATACTTACATAAAATTGAATATACATAAAATTATCCATTTTATCCAGTATTAACACTTAATAGCATATCATTTAAAGGTCATATTTTTAGTATGTTCTATTGTTTTTATAGTTAAATCCTTATTTAAAATCGTAATATTATGATGAACATGTGTTGTTTTCTAGAATTTTCCTGCTCAGTAACATGTTTTAACTATCCAAAGAACAAATTCTCATATTTAAAAATATAAGAATTGCTCAATCTTTTGTTGCAGCAATCATCTGATTTCTTTTCCACCTGTATTTATCTTTGTTCATTCTTAAGGAGGTTTTTGTTTCTAGTCCTTATCTTTTGTTACTGTTATTAAATTTTAAGCCTCTTTAATTTTGTGAAGGCAAAAAGTGGAAACCAAATAAACACATGTACATGTATAGAGAAAATTTTAAAAAATTGACAAAGTTTATGAGCATTTATTAAATGCTGCTTTCTTTTCTATTAAAATTGACCTCAGATATCATATATTGCTTTTTATCTAGCTTTCAAACTAAATGATTTATTTTCACATTTTTTTTTTTTTTTAGTAATGAAACATCTAGGGTAGGTGTTCAACCAAGAGTCATTTTCCCATTGCAGAGGAAATGTCTGAAGACATTTTTGGTTCTGACAAATGGGGAAAGGGGTTCTACTGACACCTAGTGGGCAGTGGCCAGGGATGCCTACCCTGCCCCCATGACAAAGTATTACACATCCCCAAATGTCAACAGCGCCAGGGGTAAGAAACCCTGTTCTCTATAACTATATGGCTTTTCCCCTAAAAAATTTAGGGGCATCATGTAAATATTTTAGAAGGATTCTGTACAGAAGATTTGATTTTTTGTATAGAATCTTTTAGCTGCATCATATAAATATTTTTAGAAGATTCTATATAGAAGACTTGATTTTCTTTGTTACTCTGAAATTATTTGGAAGAATGTTCTCATTTAATGCAGCGGTTCTCAACCTGTGGGTCGCGACCCACAGGAACTGTATTAAAGGGCCGTGGCATTAGGAAAGTTGAGAACCACTGATTTAATGGCTCTTTTTGATATTGTGAGCTGGGAACGTGATGCCTAGAAATTTTATCTTTTTGCAATGTATTAAGGTTTCCATTATGGTTTAGGATATGATCAGCTTTTATAAAATTTTCATGTACATCTGAAATAATATTTACCATGTATCCTACATATAATTTCTCTATAAATCTATTTTTAAAACCTTACATTAGCTGTGAAATATCAAGAAAGATGAGTTAAAGTCTGCTGTTCTTTCTGTGTTCCATTAGCTTGGCTATAAAATTTAAACAGGTTTTCTTCATATATGTTGACATAAAATTATTCATCCCTTAAATGTCTCAGATGCTGTATCTTTGTTACGGTTTTTTCTTCTTCATAAAAGAAAACCATCTTTGCCTTAATTAATGTTTCTGTACTAAGTCCAATTTTATCTGCTATCATTATTACTCCAATTTTTCCACTGTTTTATTTTTGTTCTGCATAATTTTTTGTGTAAATAGCACAAAGGTAGATTTGTTTTGTAACCCAGTTCTTAATATAATATATTGTAATATATGTATTTTATTGTTCCATTAATCATAAATAGATCTAAGAAACAGATTTTTTTCTTTTTTTCGAGACAGAGTCTCAAGCTGTTGCCCTGGGTAGAGTGCCGTAGCATCACAGCTCACAGCAACCTCAAACTCTTGGGCTTAAGCCATTCTCTTGCCTCAGCCTCTTAAGTAGCTGAGACTACAGGCGCCCGCCACAACACCCAGCTAGTTTTTGGTTGTAGTTGTCATTGCTGTTTGGCGGACCTGGCCTGGATTCAAACCTGCCAGCTCTACTTGAGCTAGAGGTGCCGAGACTAAGAAACAGATTTAAAGTGAATTGTTTTAAAGGGTAGGTTTTAAAATTCATTCTCTAAACATCCCTGTCTTCCCTCCCCCGACCTGTACACACCCTTCCTTCCATACGTCTAAAACAAGAATCTGACATTATTTCTTCAAGGGCAAATTGCCTTTAGAGCTTTGCAATAGGGCTTGTTTTCTTTCTCTTCCCAGATGCCTGCTTTAGAATTCTTCCATCAGCTATTCCTGACTCAGTAATTTCAGATCTTGCCAACACCTGATAATGGTAGATCTTTGAATTTTTGCAAACCTGCTTAAGTGCGAAATGTTCTCAATTTTATTTTAATTCACACTGTTCTGATTGCCAGTGAGGTAGAAACACCTTTTCCTATGTTTACTGGGCCATTCGGATTTCTGCAAACATTGTTGTTGAGAATATAAACTAGTGAGGGGGACACTATAGGAAAAAAACCTGACAATATCCAGTACATTGGATGTGCACATGTCCTACAGCCTGGCAAGTCTACACCACCTGTTTACTATAAGGAACATTGCCATATACACAAGAAAGCACACGCACTGCAGGAAAAACTGTGAAAGACTTTGAAATGGACAAATGGGTGCCCTTTTAATGGACTGCTGG